AATCCGCCATCCGTCTGCCCGATTGGCGGATTGAAGAAAATCAATCCGCATCCGTCCGCCAATCCGGCGGATGTGGATTGAGCGGATTGGCGGGTTGGCAGATGGATGCGAATCGGTTTAGCGGTTTAAAATTTTATAAATTTTCAACATAATTGAACTTGTACACTTCCTCAAAAAAAAAAAAAAAAAAGTATTACAGTCAATGACTTAAAAAAGTATTACAATCACTGTATGCCTTATCCAAAGAAAAAAAGTTTAAAACTTTAGAATATCATGATCACTGCATGCCTCATCCACATATTACAATCACAGCATGATTCATCCCCATAAAGTATTACAATCTGTGATTCTTAAAATATAATAACAATTCAAACCACCAAAACCATGAACAGAGCAGTAGTAGAGATTGAATGTCTCTGTATTGTTATATTTACATATGTTTTTGAAAACAAAAACCAACCAGCATATATCATATTTTCTATTTATTATTTTTAGAGTTATATTTAAAAACTAAAAAATATATATGAATAATACGTTTATTTTTTTCAATTCACAAAATATATTCAAGTTAAAAACTTTTTTTCAACAGAATATTTAAACTCTTTTTCAATTGAAAACACAAACATAATATTTAAACAAATTGAAAATACAAAGTCTTATAAATTACTAGGGGTGCTCGCGATTTGGCGGTTTGGTTGCGGCCAAAAAATCTCAAATCCGCTATCCGTCCGCCAAATTGGCGGATTTGAGAAAATCAATCCGCAACCGTCCGCTCGTCATCACGCATCCGTCCAAAATGCGGTGAATCGGTTCGGTTCGGTCGGTTTTGGCGGATCGGTATATCCGCTGCTCACCCCTACTGTCAAGTGAACCAAAAGTCATCATCTGGTATTTTGAAAATGGTGAAAGAATGTTGGGGAATTTTCAAAATGGTTTTCAAAATGTATAGTTTAATTTTTGGGTGTTTTTAAAACCTTCCATGTTTTGTTTGGAAAGCATGAAATAAGCTTGGGGATTTTGTCCCACATTGGAAAGAGAGCAAAACATGGAGCACTTAATAAAGTGCTACATGGAATATTCTTTTGAATATGGAATTATGGGATGAAAGCTAGTGTGCATGCACCCATACCGCAAGGATGGTGCTTCGCACTATCCGCACACGCGCGCACGTAGCGTGGGTAGTGGGTTGTGTGGCGTTTAATGGCGCATTTTGCACTTAGCACGGACGCAAAGGCGCCATGAGGGCGCTTTCCTATTTGCATCGGACAGGTTGGAGCGATGACGTGGATCCAACGTGGCATGGGTGACGTGGAATACATTCAATTCTACGTGGCAGTGACGTGTTGTCCGTTGTCGATGAGTCAACCAACCGATCAAACAGTTATGTGTCTGATCTGGAGCGGGTTGATCATAGTCGTTAATTGGAGATGCGCGCGATCATACGGATGAGATGGCACCCGATCGTGATCAGGTGTGATTAGTCAAGGCATTTATTCGGTGTCAGAATGATCTACACCATAGATCGTCGATCCAACGGTCAGATCTGATCGGATGCGATCAAGGGACATGACCATTCGATCAGATCCATCAAGAACTATAAATAAGCTACGAAATCAGCCATTTCATTCCATCCAAAATCCTGAAAAGCATTCCTACAATTCTCTCTCTCTCCCTCTTGATTTTGAATTTTCGATCAAGCGTTTCTTAAGCAAATTTCTATTTTTCTTATTAATAATCAAGTTCTGTAGATTTGATTATCAGTGTCTTGGTTTCTTGATTATATCAAGAGTGTTCTGATCTATTGTCGTTAGTGCAGACGTCGATAGACTAGATCTTTAGATCAGGCTTCATTACATCCTGGAGGCAAATTTGTTGTAACCCCCTGCACACCTCTTGGTGGATACAAATATTGTCTTTAGGAAAGCGACTTAGTAATGCGACTTGAAGCACTAATTTTCTGTTCTATATAAACAAGATCATTGCCAAATTTTGAAGACCTGAAGACCACCATTTGAAGAATTCAAGACCTTTTGTTCCAACATGACGTCACTCTTTGGAAGAGTTACTCCACCGTAGCATGTATTCATACTACATGTGCTTGACGACCGAGTAATGAGGTAAGAGAATGGATCCCTGTTTCCTCACCGTGTGAGTCTTACGTGTCATTATTGGTATGAATTTCTCTTATGTACCATTTTGTGACCTTTGACTATGTCAAAAGATAAGGGGTTGATGTTTTGCTACTTTTGTATGTTGTTTGCGTCATATATGATTCGGCCTTAAGGGACATCACTGGGAAAGTGGTCAATCCTAAACTAAATGGCATTAGGGCGAAGGGAAGATCATCTATTCTTACACCACTGTTGTGTATTCACTACCGGCAACTTACATTGCTCTGTATGAGAGGCGGATTGAGTGTGAACATATTGCAAGAATTGAGAGAATCAAGCATGCTCTTTTAAGGGATTAGAGATGTTTTTTGGACCGGTATAATTAGATGAGTCTGTGATATATGAGACACTATTTTTATTTTCGGGTTGATGTCACTATGCTGGCTCTTTTTGAGTTTCTAGTGTAGAGCTCCCATATGTAGGTGCTCTCAACGGTCGCACGGTCCATTAGCTAGTATGATTGTGTTTGATGGATATATTGAGATAAAGGAAGCACGGTGTCATACCAGTGCATGTTTGAGTGGAAGATGTTGGAAATTGGGTCGGGTTTAGAACCCATACCCGATTGGGTTGCCCGTGGTGGCATGACCCAAGACTAATAAGAAGAGACCCAATCAAAGTGGACCTGGATTAACTTATCTTGGGGATAAGTGTAATTAACCCACTATCTCATTTGTTAAGAAGATAGAGTTGTGAGTGGTTATAACACTCCTATATAATATAAGTATTATATGGTGAGAGTTAATTTTAATCATATCTGATTAGTCTCCTAGAATCTTCTCTATTTTTTCTTCTCTTTCCATAGAAACACATAATAACTTTTGTACTCTGAAGAGTGTGGGTAGTTCTCTAGTAGTTCTACTCTACTATTGGGAATTACTCGAAACCATCAATGGAGACACGTGATTCACTCGTATGATCTATGGATTCGGTTTGAGCGTAAAAGGTATACTCGAATCCGTTTGTTTTTGCTATATTATTTCTTATTTTTTCTACTGTCTTGGTGATGTATTTTCTCAGGACATCAACGGTGGGTTTGGGACTGTGTCTTCTCTGTCAATTGTGCTTATCGCATCACTAGTATTTAACTGCTACTTATGCCTTATCGGAATTCCTAAAACCTGAATAATAACCTCACCAGGCAACTTATTCCTTATAAAGTTGCTAGCAATCAAAATTCAGCACCCAATTAACTAAGTCCTGGTTACAACCAATTGAATGAAAGCTACTAACAGATTTTTTTAGTCAATTACACCAATTGTTTCCCAAATTGCACTCTGTTGAAAAGAAAAAGATATTTTAAACCATACTTTCCTGTCAACAAGACAAGCTCCTTGCTAATATACACATCTAAATGGTAGAAATTTGGATTCCAAAATAAATATTGACCTCCTAATCTCAAATTTCTCAATTCTATTTAGACCTCTCTATGATTTGGTGACTTTGAACCACCTGACTTAACTATGGTTACTTTACACTTTCAATTTATTTATTTTTCCCTTCCTCCTTGCGCTTTTACTCCTATAGCCATGACATATTTGCTACTTGCTTACTTGAAGATGCGCATAATTTCTAATAAAAGGAAGGAGATGATTAATTCCATGAAAATGGAAAATTTTCCTTTATTTGTTACAAAACCATCTATAGATCAATATCTTTTTTAGTTGGGAATATCGGATACAACCATTATTCTGAGTCTCATGTTACTCCTCATGAGTCTCATGTTACTCTTCCGAGTTTGAGAATATATTATTTTATTAACTTTTTGATTTTTTACGAAAATATGTACAGAAAAGTAGAGAGAGTAATATAACAACTTATAGTAACTTTTTGACTAAAATATTTAGTCTCCAAACGAGTCTTTGGGTCATATGATCTTTCTTTTTTTCCATTTTTTTTCTCCTTCCCTTCATATTGTTTCTCCAATCTCAATGTTTGAAAACTGATGTTTCAGTTCTTGGTATTTTAACTTCTTCCCATCTAATGCTCTTTTTTTTCTTTTTCTTTTTTGGCTTGGAATCTAGCCTTTTTAAATATTTCAAATTTTTATAATACCTGCAGCTTCTTCTGATACAAGGGCAAGACTTTGGTCCATGTCAAGTGGTGAAGATATTTAAGTGTATCAAGGGCATCACAAAAGCAACAATTTGTTGTGCTCTCCATGATGGAGCTGAACCTTCCCCCTGTTGATTGTGGAAGTAATTACTAGTTTTCAACATCTTGGCTAGTGTGTGTAAATGTCAATGTATAACATTGTAAAATGAAGTGAGAGAGAGAAAGAGAGTTGTGGGCAATTTCATGAAGGTTTACCACTGACTTTTGAGATCATTTGGACCAATTAACCACTTATATTTGCCCAATAAAGTATGAGAATAAGACCCGTGAAAAGGAAGGACAATGAACGGCATTATTGTCTCAAAAATTCTCATGTAATTTTTATCTTATTTGTGGTTCTTTTAATTTACAACTGTGTAATTAGAAAAATTCTCACCAATTAGCTTCTTATACAACTGAAGAGAGTTCCAGATTCAGAGGTTGGACAAACGTTGGGTTCCATTGTTACAGCAGGGGTCTTTCTAAGTAACCTTTCCATATTTTTCATCAATTTTTTCAAAATATTTTTCATGGAATTCAATTCTCTTTTAACCATTTTATCTACTTTCAAAACACTTACTCTAATCAAGATTACTAATAAGTGGCCAGAGTACTTGTTAGAATGTGATTTTTCATACAGGGGTGAATGCAGCACTAGGCTATACTAGTTGCATTTAAAAAAATAAATAAATAAATAAAAATAATTTAATGATTATTACCTTCCAACCCTCGTGATAGCTTCCAAGTTGTCATTCAAGTTCAACATTATACAACACCAGTTAGTTCAATTCCAATTGTAATGATCACCAAAAGATATGCCAAACAAAAATTCCACTCCCAAATAAAAGTTGGTATATTCCAGCTATATAAATGGGTAACACCACCACCATTAGCCATTACAACCCATGCCAGCTTTTACCCTCATGATCCAATGCACCCCACAAAACAAAAACAAAAACAAAAACAAAAACCAATTGTGGCAGAAAACAAATATAGTTTGCTACTGCTGTACATCAGATCTCTAGCTTCTGCATTAAGTCAAAACAACCAGTACCCATCTTCACTGGCAAGCCAAGACAGATCCTTGAAGATGGCGTCTCCAAGTTATCTGACATTCCATGAGATGCTGCTTCAACAATGAACTTGGAAGCAGTTTCAAAAGACATTTTAAGAAGTGGTGATATCGACTCCGCTATGCCCCCATGTCTGCTCATTGGTCGGTACCCACCCGAGTGGGTCATAAATTCAGCAATTAGACTTAGGTGCCGATAATCAATTTCCACTCCATAAATTTGGAAAACATGCTTCACCTCCCTTAGGATGGTTTCCCTGGCAGCTTCCACTCCATATGTACTTAGAATAGCATGGATGTTGTTGGAATATATACGTGTAACATCAATGTCATCTTGCATTTCCCAAAGTGCAGTAAAATTCACTCCGGCTGTCTTCAGAGCCCACGGACCAAGTTCATCCTTGTCATCTTTCTTTGCTGCAAGGGAATCTGGATCATCCTTTTTTTTGTCATCCTTGGATTTCCAAAGAACTTGATCATTTGTAGCAGACTTAATTGCTTGACACATATCAAGCTTCCCAGAGCTCTTAATATGAACCTTCTTGGCAGTCCTCTGAGCAATCTATGTTGTCATCACAAGGACATGATAAAGTTTAGGAAGTAATCACAACTATGAGGATTTCAGAAATAAAAGTACAATAAAAAAAAATAATAAATAAAACAAGCACAAACAAACAAACAAACAAAGCTGGTTGCAGAATGCCACCTAAACAAGGGTACATGGAAGTAATCCAGTTAAAGGTTAAACAAACCTAGTTCATGTTAAGCAGTACCAAGGGAAACTATACTTTCAACCCAAAATTATGCGAATTGTAGCTAGAAAATTAAAAATGCATCAATATATATATATTGAAGTCCTACTGCCTTTGTCACAGCAATGGTATTAGCCTTGCCCCAATCAAAGAGCAAAACTAACACCAGAAGGGCACAAGTAAGCAAATCAAGAGAGTAGTCACCCAGTCGGCATATCCTGTGCTTCTCCTAGTGGTCTGGCAAGCTAAACTTTATTTGTGATAAGTAAAGCAAATTCAAAAGGGAATGCTGTCTATGTACAAAAGTAGGTTGAGCCATGATGACCTAAGTTGCTCATAAATAAAGAGAGAGAGAGAGAGAGAGAGAGAGAGCCTATCTATGAAGCACAAATACTTCTAGAAGTGGGCCGTATCCATATCCAATATGGATACTCCTTGGATACATAGATTACTTATTTAAGTATTGGATATTTCTTAATTATTTTTTCATCAATTTTGAAATATCAGATACTTTAAGTCACATATTACTTCTTTAATGAAATTAGAATTGTAACATTTCTTGAATAGCATTATAATATAATATAGGATTAATTACCTAAAAGTCCTATCTACATATTTGGTGGTAGCTTAGGTCCTGTCAAAAAGTTTTTGAACCAATAAGTCTCATTTATAGGTAAAAGACGTTTTGCCCTTTAATCTCAAAACTGAGAATGTTCTCAATTTATAATTATCAAAACTAAGAAATTTCTCAATTTTTTTCTAGTATGAACTGAGAATATTATCAAAACTATCAAAACTAAGAAATTTATAATTATCAATTTTGAGAAATTTCTCAATTTTTTTCATGATTAAAATTGAGAATATTATAAACTGAGAAGGTTCTCAATTTCAAAAAACCCTAGATCTCTCTCTCTCTCTTAGATCCACCCAATTCTTCACCTAACCCTTCCAGAGACCTTGAATTTCAGGTGGTGATGAGGCAGATCGGCGACGATGGCGACAAACTGAATCCCAGGGGACTTACTGCACCCAAATCGCGAAAAGTAGCAGACAAGGGTGTCATGGTAGTATTAGGTAAGAGAAGGTGCTCCAAAGTTGATCCCACTATTGCTTTATCACTATTATCTGATATTGCAGATTGTGTTGAGGAGAGAGTGAGTGGGGGAGATGCCACCCTTTGGAGGCGTCGCGATTGGGACTGGGATGCCCCGATGAGCTTTTGAACTACTTGCTTGAAGTCTATGGACTTCACCTTGTAGATTCTTGGTGGGTTTGGCGGTGCCAGTGGAGTGATGGGTTTCTTCCACGGCTTCGCTGGAATCTTACGGACTGAATGGAGAGTAGAATGAAAAGAGGACGGAAGGGGGAAGGAAGATGACATCCAGACAGCTTGCTTGGAGTTTGTTGGAATGATAGATTGGTCTATTAAAAATTAATGGGACTTGAAGGAGCAAATAATTTTAACTAGGACTTAATGGATTATAAGTTCACAAAATGAGACTTGTATGTAAATGGCCCTATAATATAATACAATTGCGAGCATAAATACAAGAATATTTTTTCAATATTTGCTTAGTTCTTTGCCTATAACGACATAGAAAGTAAGGATTAACAAAAAAAAAATATAGCAATAATAAAATTAAGGGTAAATTACACCTAGCCCCTTTATATTTGGTCACTTTCCCATTTTAGCCCTTAAAGTTTATTTTTTACCACTTTGGCCCTTCATGTTTCAATTTTTTCCCAATTCACTCCTAAAACTAACTTATGTTCAAAATTAGACAGAAAATGTCACAATAACTGTCCCATAACATTAAAAACATATTACTATATTGAAATTTAAGTTTATATGAGAGGTGTAAATTATGTATAATAAAATATTTTTATGCCACGTGAAATCAATGTCATTTTCTATCTAATTTTGAACAAAAATTAGCTTTAGGAATAAAGTGGGAAAACTTGAAACATGAAAGGCCAAAATGGGAAAAAACAAACTTTAAAGGCCAAAGTAGGAAAGTGGTCATACATAAAGGGGGCAAAGTATAATTTATCCTAAAATTAAATATCAATAAATAAAGAAGCAATAAACCTTGCATATAATATTTTTGACTAGTGGAGGAGGGAAAAACACATGGACAAGAAGTGGATTGTACTATTATTTTAATATAAACATATTAGACTTGATATTGAAATGAAAATTTTGAAAAACCTATTGAAAATTTAAAAAGTAAATTCGCTACCGGTTTAAATTAAGACATAATTCTTAAATGTTATTATTTTGTATTATAAAATTACAGTGGACTTTCTCGACAATCATGAGCTTATGACTTGCTATTAATAATTTTTTTCAAATGTTTTTTAACAAATGTATCCTAGTTGTACCCATATCTTATTTTTTTAGATTTTGTCGTATAACCATATCCATGCTTCCTAGGAGACTATATACTCGATGGAGAAAAAAAAAACAAAAAAGGCCTATTAACTTCTTACTAGTCAAGAGAAAAACCAAAACTTTCAAAAGATCAATGTTTAGGAAAACCTTTTCTGAAGTTCAAGTGTCCAACTGCACCAAAAAAAAAAAAAAAAAACTGAGTATATATAGATTGAGGCTTCTCCTCAAAAGGTCCTCTTGTTTCACAAAAGACGTAAACACCGAAATCTTTACATCACCTGGGAACATCAAATATTGAACTAGAAAAAGAACTAATTGAATTTTTGGAAATAATTTTATACCAAAAAGGTTTAAAATTACAAGAACATATTTTGTCCAAAGTACGAGATTTTCCTGATACTCTTGAAAATAGGTTTCTTTTATATCAATGCATGTCTAAAGTGATGGGTTTTATGTATTATTTTGAGGGCGTTACAGGAATGTTATGCCTTTTGGGTTAAATATAGCACCACAGGTATTTCAATGGTGGATGGATACAATCTTTAAAGATCTTAAAGATTGTTGTGTAGATTATATTGATGATATACTTCTCTTCTCCAAAACCCAAGAGGAGCATAAGAAATATTTAAAATTACTTTGTGAAAAATTCTAAAAATATGGAATACCAAGTAAATTATGGCATGATAAAGAGATACCTTTATCAGAGAATGGGATTTGACCAAGAAAAAAATCCAATACCCATAAAATTACAAAAAGAAGAACTAATTTGTGGATATAATTCTGGAACATTTAAACCAAATGAACAGAAATATATTATTTTTGAAAAAGAATTGCTTGCAATAAAATTGACAATAAAAAGTTTCCATATTTGTTTAGCTCCAGAAAATTTTATTGTACAAAACGAACAGCGTTTGGAGGATATGGCGGCCGACAACAAGCGCTTGTGCCAAGAAATGGCAAAATCTCAACAGGTTGCACTGCGGCGAGAACGAGATCCGTCGCCAAGAAAGAGAACCAAGCAACAACACCACTCCCGGAGGCAGGATTACAGTAGTAATACATCGGATTCCTCTTGGGAGGAGCCCAGAGAACAAGGCCGAGTGGATGCCTCAAATTCATCGAATGATAGACAACTACAAATGCGACGTGGGCGCAAGAAAAAGCGCGATGATTCAAATTCAAAAGACAAACATGACCCTTTTATTCCACGCATAGCTAAGGCAAGTTTACCTAATAAGTTCAAGGCACCGTCATTCACTTTATATGACGAAAAATCAGACCCCACAGATCATGTTCGCCATTGTAAGCAATGACTCTGCATGCAGATGATAAAGCACTTATGTGCCAGATATTCCCCAACAGTTTGGGACCCCTAGCTGTTAGATGGTATTACAAACTCAAGCCGGCATCGATACATGAGTTGCTGAAGGACATCCTAGTGAACTAAATATTGAAGATGACAAGATGGGTTAAGCACATTTTTACCATTTATCAAAGTTAAAATTATAGGAACAAGTTTAAAATTGAGAGGAGAGAAGAGAAAAATAAAAGAGAATTCTTATTAGGAAAAGGCATAAAACCTTTGATTAGGTTTTCCCTCTATAACAATATGTATTTATACTAATCAAATAAGTACATAAAGACAAAACTATCCTTCATCTAACTTAACACTCCCCCTCAAGTTGGTGCATAGATATCCCTCATGCCCAACTTGCGCACAATGGGATGAAAGACCTTACTACATAACCCTTTAGTAAAAACATAGGCTAGCTGATCTTCGGATTGCACAAACAACATACAAAGCACACCACTACTTATTTTTTCCTTGATAAAATGTCTATCAATCTCAATGTGCTTGGTCCTATCATGCTGGATAGGATTATGAGCAATGCTAATAGCAGCCTTATTATCACAATACAACCGCATTGGTTCACCATTCAACAATCCTAAGTAGCCAATAACACTTGAAGCCACATGAGCACACAACCGCACTGGTCCAACATTCAACAATCCTAAGTCAGCCAATAACACTTGAAGCCACATGCGCTCACAAATGCCATTTGCCATTGCTCAGTACTCCGCTTCTGCACTTGATCTAGCCACAACAGTTTGCTTCTTACTCCGCCAAGTCACCAGATTACCACCTACAAAAATGCAATAACACGCTGCACCAGCCCAATCTGCATCAGTGAAAGCCTCTATTTTCAAATGACCATGATTAGAGAACAAGATTCCTTTTCCAAGTGCTAATTTGAGATACCTAAGGATCTGATTAACCACATCCAAATGCCCTGTTCGAGGATCATCCATAAATTGACTTACAACACCAACTGCACGTGCAATATCTGACCTAGTATGAGAAAGATATATTAATCTCCCTACAAGTCTCTGATATCTTCCTTTATCTACACAATCTAC